TATCTTATTTGTCTATATATTATGTATATATTAATTTCATATAAAAATATAATAATAAAATATGTATTTATATATATATATATATATATATAAATTTTAAAAAATAAATAATAAAATTAAAAATCTTAAATTAAAAAAAAAAAAAAATTCATCTTAACTAAGGGTGAAAATTTTCGACTCAACACAATGACAAGACTCGGACTCAACACGAATTTTATGAGACGAACATGATTATAATTCAACAGGAATTTGAAAATGACTTAACACGCAAACAAGAAATATAAAAAGTTCATAATTTTATGACTCAACACAAATCGATTGTCACCCCTAATAATAGACAAAAAATTAAAAAAAAAAATTTAGTCATTTTTATTTTCCATTCATCCAACCAAACACAAAGAAAAAAAAGTGTATCATTCTTATTTTCCATTCTTGAAAGATAAAAAGTGTACCTCTCCTACTTTTATCATCCGTGCTTTCCACCCTTTCATCCAAACGGAACATAAGAAATGCTTTAAAAACAAACAATGCATAAGCTTTTGAGGCAAATTCATCCAGTATAATCAGCCAAAAAGAAGTTGAAATATATAGCAAATTCTTATACACTATTCCAATAGAACTCCCTATTCTTATTATATTCTTATCATTTTATCATTTTATGCTTTGTGCTTTTTAAAAATAAATTTAACTTTCCTCTCATTTTACTGTCCATCATGGTTGAAACTTCAACACTTCATTTCTTGCTTTCACATAACTCCCAGCTGTATTTTCTCTCCAATAGTGGTGATTTAAACCTACGAGAATGAGACCATTTGAAGAATGAATTTAATTGGCATACCTTGTTGTAGTGCTTGTACAGTTTAACAGAAAATACTTTCAAGAAATCTGAAAATTTTAGACGAAGTTAAGGTTATTATTTTGATCAAGACTTTTACCCCAAATGTCATTTGATGAAAAATACAAACATGCCGTAAATAATGAATTTGCCTCTCTACATGTAGAGAGCTTAAATAGAGAGTCAATTGGAGATGAAAATGAAGAGTCTATTGGAGATGCTCATACGTTAACTTAAAACTTTACAGCAGCTGGAATCCTGCCAGAAAGAGAAGTTTACAACTTTTACCTACCAAACAAGTGTAATGCTCAAAAGAATATTGAACTGACAAGAACCCTTTACAACAACATTAATTATGTGCACTATGAACAAAAATTGAGGTGGCACTTCACGTGTTGCCCACTTTACCTTAGCGACTTGCTATCTCTATTGAGGTCCTCCCAGCTTATCTCCTGGGCACATTCCCCACAAACAGTGCTGCAACCGGTTTTCGTGCCCTGACTCCTAAGAGTCAGTAAATGTGAAAGATTTGTGCATTTCCGTGACACCACACGATTTCTTGTACTCCTTATGGAATGTGCGAGATTGCTGGTTTCAGGAGCAGGAGGGGGTATGACTGAAATTGTTGGCTTGTGCCCAAAGGCAGATTCACTCGCAGGAATTGTCTGTAGTGGCCTTTGCTCCATGGTTGTTTCCTCAGCAGGAATTCGCTGCACTTCCCCCCATTTGAGGGTTTTCCGATATACTTCCCATGCCATATCTTGTTCCTCCTTGGACAGCTTTTCATCTTCATTTTCTTGCAAAAGTGTCTCGTGCTCGTGGCAGTTAGCAATCCATCTGAATGAAAAATAGGTCATAAGATTTTCGAGCGTAAGTTATGTAAATAAAACATTATCTAGATAATCTTTTATCATTGCCAGGACCCAAGACAATAAACTTCAAATAATTGGCACTAAAGAAGCATTATCTAGATACATCATTATGGTACTTAATATTACATTGACTTGGATTGGGGAAATGTCTCAGTCAGATAAATAGCAGAAGAATAAAATTCAGATGGCAAAATCATGTTTCTTTGCACAACACGATCAAGTTATCCTTTGATTGTTCTAGAGGGGCAAAGGTGTTAACGGATGCACAAGTAGTTGGGGTTGGGGGAAACTCAAAAAGAAAAAGAAAGAGAAAAACAACTGAGAGAACCATAAAACCCAGATTTGGCATGAAGCCTCAACAATCAAATTAGGACAGTTGCCAGAGCAACAAGCAGGCTCCACTACATGTTAAGGAAACTAGCCATGGGAAATAACAGGAAAGAACTCATACTGCAGTTACCGAATTGAGATGATCCCAAAACTAAGGACACTAACCCAGATTTATGTTCCAAAATTTTTCAACGAATAACATCAGTTTATTGTGGGCAATGATATTACATGCATAAAAGAAGCCCATATAGATATGCAGCGACAATACCAATGCCTAATACACTAACATAATGAAAATACTAATTAGTATAACATTCAGAATCCAAAGATCATATGGGTTAATTATCAATAGAGAACTAAGTCACTTCTATTATATCTTTACTTATCGACTACTATACCTGAAACAAGCTGGCAATAGATGAAATTACCAATGAAAAACTGAAGCCAAAATATGAATTAGAAAGAATAGTTATGCTCCTTTTGGCCCCCACATAGAAATTACAGGCCAAGGAATCTTCCCTTAACTTTTCATTGAATAGCTAATCTAAGACTCCTCACAATTTGAATCTAAAAGCAATAGTTTTGCTAACACCATTACATTTATTTGGATTTTAGAGTGTCTCATGATCACAGCTTATGAGCCAATGAATCTTTGCAAGAACTAAAATGATTAACTGAAACTAACATCAAGGAAAATATGTCACATTTTTCCCCTGTGCAGGGCAAGGCAGACCAACAATTAACCTTCTCTTGGCAAGGCAAATAATACAAAGATTGCAACCATTTAGCACTAATTAATTTTTTTTATCTTTGGGAAGGAGGTTTTCATAGAAAATTGTTTGGAAGGAATAATGTGGTGGACTAAGAATGAGGAATGGGATTCAATTTGACATGTTAACCATTCAAAAACTCTAGTTATGAAAGCAAATGATAGTTAAAGACTAGAAGAAATGCCAGGCCATGAAGGTCAAAATGAAGCAATGCATACAAAGTTATAATCCTACCTAGAGTTGACCACAATGTACATGAATCTATAGGTTATGATTCATAAGCGCTATTCTCCTTTTTCGATATTAGTCATAATAATCTATCGTAGGAAATTGCAATTACCCCCAATATCTTTCTAATATAAATAAGTAAAGTGTTCAGCGAAAAACATCCTACACACAATACTTGATACTCTGAATGGGGCCCTATCAATTTTTAGCATAACAATACAGATAACATCATAAAATCATATAAATATTAAATTATATTTATTTAATATTATTTTTCATACTTTTTTAGATTTGAAAGTATCAATTGGCTTTTTGTTTGATGTTTTGTTAAAAACAAATAAATAATAACATCCAAACCAAATAAAAGCTGCTCAACTATTGTTTTTTTCGGTCAGTGAATATGTTGATCAATTTTTTAACAAACAAATTCAAATCTAAACAAAACTTGAGTGTCGAAACAACAATTTGAATAAAATATTATGTTTTTATAACACATGATATAATATTTATTATAGTGAAATTTGAGTCTCGCATTAGTCTATAGGCCCAATTAAACTTAATTCAAATGGGTCAAAAACCCTTCATGTCAGATTTATATGAGACCTTAAAAAAAAACTTAAATATTGAAATTAGGTCTAAAAATTTTATTTACTAAGTCTCACATTTATCTAAAAGCCCTAGAAAAAATTCAACTTGAATCTTGGCCTAAAATCATTTATATCACATTAAGAATAAATGATTTTGGGTCCAAAATTTTCATTTGAAATTAATAGGGCGAATTGCATTTTGCATCCTGAAAGATTTCAAGATTTTTACTTGTACCCTCATAGATTAAATTTCTTATATTGCACCCTCAATGTATCAAAAGTGTTTCAATGTGACCCTTCTATTAGCTTTTCATTAATTTTTTCGTTAGTGTCAAATGGAAGTCTTAAAATCTTTCAAGGTGCATAGTGCGAAAAGCCCAAATTAATAAAATAAAGTTGGATAAAATTGAACCTTGGGGTAGAAGTTCTATTTGGGGCTCTAAAAATTTCGAAGCCCTAGTTAACCACTTTAACGATCTAGTCTAAGGGTCGGCCACACATATATTTAAATTTAGAAATAAAAAAAATACAATGAAAAACAAGTCAAAATCCTCTGATATCAACATGATGTCTGAATTTCTAATGACCAAAAGACATGTCTAGGGACGACAATACATAGTTTCTTAGTATTGTACGATACGTGATATGGTACATACGATATATTGAAATATATTAAGAAAACAATACGTATTGCTTAAGTGTATCAGTTTGTACTGTAACGTGCGATCCACGATACGATACACCTGATACAAGACGATACATACAAGTTCGTCGGATACAGGGTAAAACAAATAAATTTTTTTTTTTTTTTTTGAATTTTAACAAAAAGCGCATTTTCACTTGAGTGACTTTTTCAAATACTAGGTAATGAAACGACATCGTTTCACCATCTACAGTTTTAAAAAATTTATTTATTTTTAATTCATTCCATCACATGAACAAATAATTTGATTGTTAAAAGTATCCTCCTCTAGCTACTTTAGATGAGTTAGAATTCTCTATATTTTGATATTGATGAATTATGTTAAAAACATCAACACTTAAATTGTTGGTTTTTTGTTTTGCTCCTTGTAGTCTCTTTAAATCGTTTTATGTGAAATTTGGAGGTGCAATGAAATATTATTATGATCTTTTGTCTTAAGTATATGTATTTTTTAATATTTTTTATAAAACTGCATCTATCTTACGAAATCACTTTTCCCACTTTAAAAATAAATAAATAAAAGGAGCGGTTTTCAAGTCAAGACTAAGTCAATCTCTCACTCGTTTTGTAATCTATCAAGAAGGAGCAAATTAAACGTATCTATTCTTCAATTCAACTCTGCAGTGGGCGACTAAGTTGTAGGAATCTTATTTGAATGGATCCATGCTTGTTTGGATTATTTATGAGTGATTCTTGCCTCTTTTTTGGTGATCAGCTCCCTAGCTATTGTTTTTGGCTTTCGTTTGTATATTTTATCTTAATTTTGATTTGGTGTATAGCTTGTTGGTTGAAGTTTTGCTGGTTTTGATTTCTTTCCTTTTTTTCTTTTTTTTTGATAAAAGAAAATTTTTATTAAGATTAAGAGAGATAACAAATTACAATATGGAGGTCAAGATATCCTCACAACGGAAAAAAAAAAGAGAAAAGAGAAAAAAAAACACGAAGCCAAAATTGCATTCCAATTCCTTTGAAAATCCGATAAAGATAAACCTCTAAAACTCCCAGCAGACTTGGACCATAAAGAGGCATGAAAAACAGTTATACTAGACCAAATTCAACGTAAGGAATTGATTTCTAATATTCTTGAATTCCTTTATGTCTAGATATTCCAAAAAAATCTTGCTTCTTTACTCCTCTCAAATCCTCTAAATTTAGTTTGCACCAATGCCTTCATAGAAGCCAAACAAACCCACGGTTCACCAAACACATTAAACAATTTATGCCACAATCCCCAAGCAAAGGAACAATTAATGAATAAATGAGCATTTGACTCTCCATGTCTCATGCAAGTGGAACATACATCACCTTCAATATGGCATTAGTATTCACCCTAATGAGCACAATAGACCAAACAAAAGCCTTGACTTAGAAAGGACTCTTGGTCTTCCAAATGAAATTATTAAAAGAAAAGGAGTTGTATNCACGGTTCACCAAACACATTAAACAATTTATGCCACAATCCCCAAGCAAAGGAACAATTAATGAATAAATGAGCATTTGACTCTCCATGTCTCATGCAAGTGGAACATACATCACCGTCAATATGGCATTAGTATTCACCCTAACGAGCACAATAGACCAAACAAAAGCCTTGACTTAGAAAGGACTCTTGGTCTTCCAAATGAAATTATTAAAAGAAAAGGAGTTGTACTGTATGGGAACTAACAAGATAGGAGTAGAAAGATTTACAAGAGAAAATACCTAAATCTTCGTTAATCCAAATTCTACAACCAGTGAAGGTATTAGGATGAAAATTTTGAAGAAAAAGAAGCAAAGAGGTCAAATTCTATGTTTCTCTATCATTTAAACTCCTAAAGAAATGGAAATCCCAACAATAAGAATTATCCCCCCAAACAAGATAACTATAAATAGGAGCCTCGTGGAGAGAAGAAAGTTGATAGAGTTAGTGGAAGAACAACNTGGGAACTAACAAGATAGGAGTAGAAAGATTTACAAGAGAAAATACCTAAATCTTCGTTAATCCAAATTCTACAACCAGTGAAGGTATTAGGATGAAAATTTTGAAGAATAAGAAGCAAAGAGGTCAAATCCTCNCTTCGTTAATCCAAATTCTACAACCAGTGAAGGTATTAGGATGAAAATTTTGAAGAAAAAGAAGCAAAGAGGTCAAATTCTATGTTTCTCTATCATTTAAACTCCTAAAGAAATGGAAATCCCAACAATAAGAATTATCCCCCCAAACAAGATAACTATAAATAGGAGCCTCGTGGAGAGAAGAAAGTTGATAGAGTCAGTGGAAAAACAATACTAAATGCTAAAGCACCTCACGTATCCTCCCAAAATAGAAACCTAAATCCATTCCCCACCTTATAACAAGCTAATGGAAAGAAAAAAGGATACACATGA